AGAATATGTCTTGTGTTGAAAGTTTTTTGTTTTATTATTTCATTGTCATAACATTTATTCATAATGTGTCTGACATTCAATAATATAAATAGCTAAATGTGCTAGTATCAGTAGTGTAAGAACGACAGAGGTTCTTAGCTGAATCAAATTGTACTAATTTCAATTTTGCTTTGCAAGATTGTCTTATGCATATGAGATACATAATAATTCAGGTGAACAAAACCAGTTCTGTAAGGTCAACATGGGATTTCATGTAGGAGCAAATAATGGGGACGCACACTAGTTTGGTAGAGAAGTAGTTGAAGAACAGAAAGTAAAAAGCTTGTGAAAGGGAATTTTCATCATTAAATAGATTTCAGTTGGTGTGTTAGAAGTCGAAAAAGAATCGGAAATTGGCCATGGGAATGAAGAATTCAGGAGAATAATAAATGAAGTCGAATTCAAAAGAAGGCAAAATAGTGTGGAATGTTGACTGAAGTTTTCACTTTCTTTAAAGGTAATGCTAGTAGAAAGGTACTAGGAGTATTTTCATCTGTGTGTGTAAAACTTTCCTCTACCTAGACCCTCATCCATGTATTGCTCAGAATCATAGAATAGTTAGGGTTGGAAAGGACCTTAAGATCATCTTGTTCCAACACCGCTGCCATGGGCAGGGACACCTTACGCTACATCATATCACCCAAGGCCTCGTCCAACCTGATCTTGAGCACTGCCAGGGATGGAGCATTCACAACCTCCCTGGGCAACCTATTCCAGTGCCTCACCACCCTAGCAGGAAAGAATTTCCTTCTTATATCCAATCTAAACTTCCCCTGTTTAAGTTTTAACCCGTTACCCCTTGTCCTGTCACTACAGTCTCTAATGAAGAGTCCCTCCCCAGCATCCCTATAGGCCCCTTCAGATAGTGGAAGGCTGCTATGAGGTCTCCACACAGCCTTCTCTTCTCCAGGATGAACAGCCCCAACTTCCTCAGCCTGTCTTCATATGGGAGGTGCTCCAGTCTCCTGATCATCCTCATGGCCCTCCTCTGGACTTGTTCCAACAGTTCCATGTCCTTTTTATGTTGAGGACACCAGAACTGCACACAGTACTCCAGGTGAGGTCTCACAAGAGCAGAGTAGAGGGGCAGGATCACCTCCTTCGACCTGCTGGTCACGTTCCTTTTCATGCAGCCCAGGATACGGTTGGCTTTCTGGGCTGCAAGCGCGCACTGCCAGCTCATGTTCATTTTCTCATCAACCAACACCCCCAAGTCCTTCTCTGCAGGGCTGCTCTGAATCTCTCTTCTCTGCCCAACCTGTAGCTGTGCCTGGGATTACTCCGACCCAGGTGTAGGACCTTGCACTTGGCATGGTTAAACTTCATGAGATTGGCATCGGCCCACCTCACAAGCATGTCGAGGTCCCTCTGGATGGCATTGCTTCCCTGCAGGGTATCAACTGAACCACACAGCTTGGTGTCATCGGCAAACTTGCTGAGGGCGCACTCAATCCCACTGCCCATGTCAGCGACAAAGATGCTGAACAAGACCAGTCCCAACACCAGTCCCTGAGGGATGCCACTCGTTACTGGTCTCCAGCCGGACATTGAGCCATTGACCACAACTCTGTGCGTGCGGCCATCCAGCCAGTTCTTTATCCACCGAGGGGTCCATCCATCAAATTGATGTCTCTCCAGTTTAGAGACAAGGATGTCATGTGGGACAGTGTCGAACGCTTTGCACAAGCCCAGATAGATGACATCAACTGTTCTACCCTGTCCATCAGTTCTGTAGCCCCGTCATAGAAGGCCACCAAATTGGTCAGGCAGGATTTCCCCTTAGTGAAGCCATGCTGGCTGTCACCAAGCACCTTGTTGATTTTCATGTGCCTTAACATACCATCCAGGAGAAGCTACTCCAGGATTTTGCCAGGCGCAGAGGTGAGACTGACTGGTCTGTAATTCCCTGGGTCATCCGTTTTCCCCTTCTTGAAAATGGGGGTTATATTTCCCTTTTTCCAGTTGTCGGGAACTTCACCTGACTACCATGATTTCTGAAATATGATAGCCCGCAGCTTAGCAACCTCATTCGCCAGCTCCTTCAGGACCCGTGGATGGATTTCATCAGGACCCATGGACTTGTGCATGTTCAGTTTTTTAAGATGGTCTCGAACCAGATCCTCTCCTACAGTGGGCCCAAGGTCTTCATTCTCACAGTCCCTGCATCTGCCTTCCAAGACTTGGGTGGTTTGGTCAGAGCCTTTGGCAGTGAAGACAGAGGCAAGGAAGTCATTCAGAACCTCAGCCTTCTCCAAATCCTTTGTAGCCAGTTCTCCCAAGAGCTTCCTGAGGGGGCCTACATTCTCCCTAGTCTGTTTTTTATTTGCTGTGTACTTGTAGAATCCCTTCCTGTTATCTTTCACATCCCTAGCTAAGTTTAATTCTAACTGGGCCTTAGCTTTCCTAACCTGGTCCCTAGCTTCCCGGACAACATCCCTGTATACTTCCCAGGCCGCCTGTCCTTGCTTCCACCTTTTATAAGCCTCTTTTTTCATTTGAATTTTCCTCAGGAGCTCCTTATCCATCCAAGGAGGTCTCCTGGCCCTCCTGCTACACTTCCTTCTCGTTGGGATACAGCACTCTTGAGCTTGTAGCAGGTGATCCTTGAATATCAACCAACAGTCTTGGGCCCCCCTGCCCTCTAGGGCTGTATCCCATGGAGCCTTCCTAAGCAGGTTCCTGAAGGGTCCAAAGTCTGCTCTCTTGCAGTCCAGGGCAGTGAGCTTGCTGCACGCTCTTCTCACTGTCCTGAGGATCTCAAATTCGACCATCTCGTGATCACTGCAACCGAGGCTGCCCTGGAGAGTCACATTTCCAACGAACCCTTCCCTGTTGGTGAGCACGAGGTCAAGCATGGCACCTCTCCTTGTCGGCTCCTCTATTACTTGCAGAAGGAAGTTGTCTTCCACACAATCGAGGAACCTCCTGGATCGCTTGTGCTGGGCCGTACCTTCCTTCCAACAGATGTCAGGGTGGTTGAAGTCCCCCATGAGAACAAGGGCCTGTGAGCGTGAGGCTTTTCCTGTCTGTCTATAGAGCGCTTCATCCACAGGTTCTTCTTGATCAGGCGGTCTGTAACGGATCCCCACAGTAATGTCTCCCATAGCTATATTCCCTTTAAGCCTGACCCACAAACTCTCTGTGGACAGCTCACCTGTCCCCAGACAGAGTTCCATACTCTCCAGCCTATCCCTAACACAAAGGGCAACTCCCCTTCCCTGCCTGCTGTGCCTGTCTTTCCTAAAGAGCCTGTAACCTTCCATTCCAACACTCCAGTCATAGGAATAATAAACTTCAGATTTGACCTTTAGTTTTTCTTAAGATGGCTCTTTGTTCACTAAGTGTTTTGATTCTACTGACAAAATGTTTATTGTTTTTTAAAAATAAATTACTGGATTTGGAAGTTGGGAGTGGGATTAAGTTGGCAAACTTTCTAAAACATTAACAAGTTCAACAGAGCCAGTTGTGTTTCAGCCTTTTAATGGGAGCCATTTAACTAACTGGCTTTGTTCCAGAGAGCTGAGATAAATTTTTCAGGAGAAATTCACAGTGGCCATGAGCTTGCACTGGTATTAGCTGCCCAACTCTTGGGGTAACTTGTTTATAGTCACTTCAACTATCTTAAGAAAAAGCTTAGAGCAGCTAATTCAGGTACAAGAGGGGGAGCTCTTTGTGTGTATATGGTGGTATTTTGATTTTCTTTCAGGTGTGGCAGTGTGGGTCAATGTGCTTAAATTTTGTACTTCCAAAACTAAATATACCATTTGTGAGTTTATTTGCAATTAGTGGTACTTTTTACATTAATTCTGGTTCTCCGCAAAGACAAGCAACTTTTTGACTTTCAGTGCGTTTACAACATTTAGCTTTTTTCCACAAAGATTTTTAATCTTCTGTGTTTAAACAGATGTGTAAACCAAAGTATTGCTGCCTTGGTCTTGTTTAATAAGGGGTGGATGGATGCACATATATGGGGGTATAAAATACTTTTAAAACGGGCATTGGCATGATTAGGCTTGTATTCTATGCAAGTTATGCTTGCTTGAATTAAATTAAGAGTCCTGATTTCATGACAGACTGATAAATGCACTGGGTCTTATCATAGTGAGATCTGAACACTATGAATATATTTCATGCAAAAATTTGATCAAAATAAACATGTCTTAAACCTAGCATTACTTTCTTCTTTTACAACAAAATTTACAAGTAAAGTTCAGTATTATCTGTGCATATCTTAATATAAGAATTTTTAAACATCTTTAATGTGTACAGAGCTGGCAAAATAACTGTACAATATTTATGCTATAGTTGACATCTGCTAATTCAATCTTAATTTTGCTACTATCATCATCACATTATTGGGAGAATAGGGTTTTAATCTTAATTGGAACATTGGTTTCGGTTTTGTATAGTATTTTTAATTACGAAGTGAAATTTTCATCTTTGGAATTGTGCATTTAGCTTTAAAAGTGCAAAGTTATGCCTGTAGGTCCCTTAATAGTAACTCTCTGTGTATGCTAGTTTGAGGTTACTTGCCAAAGTAATGGATTGAGAACAGTCGTGAGATCCTAAAACTCAAGAACATTGTGAACAGCCCATGGAAGTAAAGGCAGTGGACATGGATCAAATAGAAACACATTGGGAAGAAATACTGTAGATCCAAACCCAAATTTTGAACTCCAAATGACAAGGTGTGAGCATAGTTTGCATGTTCATCTCTGAAGTAGTGTTAGTAGGGAGGTTGAGGGCATCGCTAAGCAGTCATTTTTTCTCCCTAACTCATTTGAGAAAAATAAATTTAAAGATGGTGGAAGAAAAGTTGCTCTTCTGTTGTGTTGTGGGATTTTGTTTTTTTTTTTCCTCCTGTTTTTCCTTGCTCTTCAAGCACATTATTTAATTTTCATATTTCTTTTGGCTTACCTTTTGGCAAAGGGGAAATTTCTGAAAAATAAGGTGTAAATATTTTTCATTGACTGTCAATGCATGACGAGTTGATCTGTATGACAGTCTTCTTGAGTTTGATTAAAACATTAGCTTTTTGTTATATTTGAAATTGGCATTCTTCATGTAAGAAGCATTGTGTGGTTGTTAGTGTCTTAGGCTTGCCAGTATTACAATAAAAGTGTAATGTTGCATTTTTTTCTGTTCCTTTACACGTGAGTATAGTGATACCTTTACCAAAAGTATCACAATTCTGAGTAAGTGTGTGTATGTTAAAGATTATGATCCTGACAGATTTTTTCACTTAACTTGGTATCTTTGAGTGGCATTGTGATTAATTTTAGTTTCTTTTCTCTGAGTGTAAGCTATTGACACAGGCATTTTCTTTTTTATAGCTATATTTAGAGGTTGTAACTGAGCTTTGGGTCCCATAGTACAGGATTAAGCATTTCTATAACCCCTGGTTTTGCATTAGATTACTTAGATACTTTCCATTTAGCCTTACAATTAACCTGTTTGAAAAAAGATCTCACCTTACTCTTGGAGAACCAAGACTGCCGTCAGTGTCTCTGAAAGTTTGTGATTGAGTTAGGGAGTCTGCACTGCAGCCCTGAATCCCTAGTCTTAGCATTTAAATCAATGAGTGCTAGCTAATAGTGACTAAAGTGGGCACGATAGATCTTATCATTATGTTGGAGACATAGCTGTTTTGATGATTTCTGTGTCTCATTTAACTAGAAAAATGAAAACAACACAGCAGAGAAGAACATTATGAAGGGACGACAAGAAATGTTGGCAAACAGTAATCAACACCACCTGTATGTTATGCATCCTGTGATCCAGAAAAACAAAAAAGTACACAAAGCAGGTTCAACCACCTTCTTGGTTGGGAAGACACCCAAAGGAATCTGCAGGTGAGACTGTTTCAGTGAGATGGAAGTGAAATCCTAAGGCTGAAACTAATCTCCTTGTGGGGAGTTGCTTTTTCCTTTGTTTCAACCATACTCGTAGAATACTGATTATTTTCTATGGCAAGAGCAGAACTAATGGGAAACTTCCACTCACATTGCACAAAGAGTACCATAACTGATTAATAAGATGAACTGAACCCACAAATCACTTTAACATGTTGATTCAGTGTTTAATATATATTACAGAACTGTGCAGTTGTCATCACCATGAGTGTTCATGCTATGTGCATCATACAGTACTACAAACCAATGTTTAAACTGTAGAGAAACAAGAAATTTTATAATGTGAACTTCTGACTGCCTGCTGGTTTTGCTCTGATCTCATCACTTTCTTTGAAAGTTTATTAAAGAGCACTGGACTTTAGTGGGGTTTTTAACATAGGACTTAATGTTATTTAATATTTTATTTTATTGCCCCCCTAATTTTTTGAAGGATAATAATTTTTCTTTGTTTTGCCTTTTCCCCCCAGCTCTTGCTATTATAAATATTTAAATTCCATCGGTATATAGATAGAAGTTCAAGAACAATAGCCAGGTGATATGTGGAAACAGGAGAAAGCTCTATCTAACTAGGCAAACCTGTAGAATTGGGATTTGGTATATATATTCAGTTTTGCCTTGAGACAATTAGATTACTACACAATAGTTATGTACCTAGGTGATACCTGTAAATGTTCAGAATCTGTCATATTAGCCATCTGGCTTTAGCTGTACTGTTATTGTTGAAGTGCTAGACTTGCTTACTATTATAGCTCTTGCAAAAAGCTTAAAAGCATGCTCACTCTTAAATATTAAGCAGGTCATCTGTTAGCACGTGGCTTGCAGTTACTTTGTAGTGCATCTGAAAGTGCTGTGCAATTGATGAGGATGATTAGATGCCTCAGTTTGTGTTGTAGGGCAGAATGGGAAGCTGTCTACCATCACCACATCACAAAGGGTATAGTTAGAGCTAGCCAGTCAGTATTTGAGTCCAGACAGGGTTGAATCTCACTGTCTGTTGGAGGCCTCATACAGGAAAGGTAACACATTTCATATTCTTTCTCTGACCAGGGAGCATAAACCCACCTCGCCAGCCTTCCAGTTAGGTTACCAGTCTCTAAGTGATGGCTAACTCAGTTAGGGTAATTTCCTTTAGTTAGAGCTTGGCCTCTCAGCAGAAGCAAATACTCCGTAGCTTACTGGATAGGATGGAGGTACAGTCCCTGTCTCCTGTGAATGTGTTTATCCAGCTGTTGTTTAGCAAGTCTTTTAAAAGGAGTTTGAGCAGCTACTTCCTTCTTCCCTTCCTGTCACCTCTCCCCACTAAAATAGGAAGCTGCTTTCAGTGATTACTTTCTGGGATACGTGAGGTAGGAGAATTGAATGAATGGCTTGAATGCTGCTTTTGTTTCTAGTTAAAGGTATCAAAATAACATTTTTCCTTGTTAATTACAGGAGACATTTTGAGGAAATGGTGTCCCACTTTAATATGGGATCAGTAGAAGAACTTGCAGAACATATTGTAAAAGCTACATCAGAAACAAGGCAGATGATGTTGAGGGAATTCTATATTTCTAAGTATCCAGAGATGGAGTCTTTCTTTCCAGCTGAAAAAGCAGCACAGTCTTCACGTGACTGTGAAGAAAGAGAATTGGGTACAACACGCTCAAAAAAAAAATCCATTGTTAATTTTGGAAGAACTAAAGCTACACCTTCGTCAGCTAAAGGACTACCTCTGAGCAGAACTACAGAAACACAGAGCCAGCAGAGCCGTAAAGTAAAAGTAGAGCAGCTTCACAATGACTCGTACTTGGAAGATGTGTGTGTTGATGCAAAATATAAACAATCGCCCACTGTTGCTACTCAACATATCGAAAGGAGAAACAGTCAAGCATTCAAGGATTTTATGGCATCTGGCTCATTAAGCAATAAATCAGAAATAATTGAGGTGCTGCCTATAAAAAGTTGTGAAGGACAGCAAGACTCAGAAGGAACACAGCTGCCAAGAAAAAGATGCCTGTCTCAGTCAGCAAATGGGGAGAGAAAAGCTCATGCTTGTAAGAAAAAGTCTTTTGTGGACTTACTTGGAGATACCTCTGTTCTCAATGACCTCTTCAGAAATGACGGAAATGGGCCTACAGACTCACTAAGGAGATTCCCTTCAGCGCAAGCAGAAAAATCAAAGGAGAGACCAAAAGATTTCTGGGACATGCTGAATGACCAGAATGAGGAGAGCCTCAGAAAGCTCACAGACATAGCAGTTGTAGAGAAGCTATGTGCAAAAGCACCTCCTCCCCTAGTGACAGAAAAGAGAGAAGTGCATGAAAGTTTTCTTTGGAAAAAAAATGAAAATTTTCTATGGAAAAAATACAGTCCAGATGATTCAGATGAACCATCCACTGCTACATCTTGTAGTGTAGTAAAATGAGAGTTTTCTATGTGACTTGCACTATATTTTATTTGAACATTAAAATATCCACAGCTTCAGTAATATTCAGCAAAATATAACTTCATGAGATTAAAGGCAAAATGATGAAGTCATATTTATGATATGGATTTGCATTTTACAAATATGAATATATATAATTACATATGTATAGTATCTATATGCATAGTAGTACATAAATACTATATATCGTAAGCTATGATATATTAATTTTAAATTAAGCTTTTTTAAGTGTTCTGAGTGCAATTTTTTTCTTGAATTCTGGTTATTTCCTAGACTCAGTAGCAGTACTAAGTAATTTTTCCTGTTTAATTACATTTGGACATCCTCAGTCATCAATGAAGAATCTAATGATATTAACAGGATTTGACAGTGATATTCCACATACTTTCTCAGCTACTAGAAACTCGGGGACTTCATGAGATCGGAATGATATCTTTGTGTCTTAATATCTTTTGCAAATTTTTTTATTGTTTTATAGTACACAAATTAGAGTAGACACAGCAGTTAGCTGCCTGAGGGAATTTCAAGAACCTATACGATTATAGAATCAGGGCACGGTTTTTGTTGGAAGGGCCTTCAAAGATCATCTAGTTCCAACCCCAGTAGTGTGGGTAGGGACATCTTCCACTAGACCATGTTGCTCAAAGGCCTCTCCAACCAGGCCTTGAACACTGCCAGGGGACACAGCTGCCAGGGTTGCACAGCTGTTCTGGGCAACCTGTTCAAGTGCCTTATCACCCTCATCATTAAGAAAATCTTGTGTCTAATCTAAATCCACCCTCTTTCAGTTTAAAACCATTACCTCTTGTCATTACTGGCTGTTGTAAGAAAGTCTTTCTCAGTCTTTCTTATAAGCCACCCTTAAGTACTGAAAGGCCACAGTGAAGTCTCCCTAGAGCCTTCTCTTCTGCAGGCTGAACAACCCCAACTCTTCAGTCCAGCCCTCTGGCTGTTTTCATGGCCCTCCTCTTGACCTGCTCTAAGAGGTCCATGCCTATTTTGTGCTGGGGACCCCATATCTGGATGCTGTTCTCCAGGTGGAGTCTCATGAGAGTGGACTTGGAGGAGAATTACTATCCAAAATTGCTACCTGGAGGACCCCTGTAGGGATCAGTCACACTTAATTACGAAAGTTTGGTCAATCACCCACTTTCTAGTCAGATCTTTCTCTGATCTGTGTTAGAGAGCAGTGTAGGGGAGAGGGACCTGGGGGTCCTAGTGGACGACAGGATGACCATGAGCCAACACTGTGCCCTTGTGGCTAAGAAGGCCAATGGCATCCTGGGGTGTATTAGAAAGGGGGTGGTTAGTAGGTCGAGAGAGGTCCTCCTTCCCCTCTACTCTGCCCTGGTGAGACCCCATCTGGAATATTGTGTCCAGTTCTGGGCCCCTCAGTTCAAGAAGGACAGGGAGCTGCTGGAGAGAGTCCAGCGCAGGGCAACAAAGATGATTAAGGGAGTGGAGCATCTCCCTTATGAGGAAAGCCTGAGGGAGCTGGGTATCTATAGTTTAGAGAAGAGGAGACTGAGGGGTGACCTTATAAGTGTCTATAAATATATAAAGGGGGAGTGTCAGGAGGATGGAGCCAGGCTCTACTCAGTGGCAAACAATGATAGGACAAGGGGTAATGGGTACAAACTGGAACACAAGAGGTTCCACTTAAACTTGAGAAGAAACTTCTTCTCAGTGAGGGTGACGGAACACTGGAACAGGCTGCCCAGGGAGGTTGTGGAGTCTCCTTCCCTGGAGACATTCAAAACCCGCCTGGACACATTCCTGTGTAACATTATCTAGGTGTTCCTGTTCTGGCAGGGGGATTGGACTAGATGATCTTTCGAGGTCCCTTCCAATCTCTAGCATACTGTGAGACTGTGAGACTGTGATGCTACTCCTTTATCTTCATCTATGCAGGTGACCAGTAATTCAAGGAATAAATAACTGTACCTTTATGGTACAGGTACATGGGGTGTGTGCGCCATGAATCCTTTCACCAATGAAAGCATACAGAATTTTGTGTTCCTGATCATATCGGACTATTCAACTCCATTACCCTTTGAGCATGTTTATACAGCAGTCTATGCTTGAGGAAAGCACTGGTGCCAGTCCCTGCTTTATGCCACCTCTGCTATGTAGGCAGATTTGTCTGTAGCCCTGGGTATTGTGTGTTCTGACTTGGGCATGAGAGCTGCTGAGTGCCTGTTCTGTCTGCCATGTTTCAGCCAAAGCAAATGTATTTACATTTGTCTTCCACATTTGACTTTATCCTCAACACTGGAGTTGGAATGGACCTGGTTATGATCATAGCATTTTTACAACATCAGATAATGTATACTGTTACTTTGCACTCAGCTTTCTGGGCAAATAATTTTTATTAAACATTAGCTTTGCCCAACAGTTCACTAGTGATATGCAGTGTTGCAGTCCCATGCTTTCAGGATAAAGATGTGGAAAACTAGGATTAGGTTGAACCGTTAACTCTCTTTCTGATGCATCAAATGCATGGGTTACCAAAGAGAATGATGGATAATATTTTTTACCCAGTTGTGAATATACAGACTGCACCCCATTCAACTACTTCTGTAACAGAACATATTAATTCTTTCTAAGATGGTGAGGAACATGACCTCGGAGTTCTAATTCACATTTTGGATACAAAACAGGCAAATTTGTGCATCTCTGAGAACATAATGAATACTTTCCATTGTGTACTTGGGGGATAAAATAAAGCTGCTGGATCTCATTTTTATTCCAGTACTTAATATGCTACCAGTAGTTCAAAAAGGAGGGGTTCACCTGTCAGTTGTTAAGAATATGCAATACAGTACGTATGGAGTAAAGAAGTTCTACATACTGACAAATTATCAACTTACTCCTGAAATGCTTGCTGTAATAAAATTTCTAAATGAAAACTGCTCTTCACAGATTGGAGGAGTTGTTATGAGATATGTCATATCTCATTTGCTGAGTAGTCTTACCACATTTGTCAGTGCTGTGGGGTCATGTGAAGGAGTACCTTATCATAGTAAGCAAAAGAGGCCAGGGCTTCATGTTGCTCTGGAAACCTTAACCCTAATCCTTGTTTTTTGTAAACTTTGAAATCTCAGCGTATTAGTAAAGAGTTGTACATTGAATATACTGTATAAATTGTTTTATGCGAAGGGTAAATGTTATGAAATTTTAAAACCTTGGACACTGAAGCTGCACAGCAGCAGCCTGTGAATGGTGGTAGTTTTTGTGGTCTGGATGTCTGCCCACTGGAAAATAAGCTTAAAATTCATCTGGAGCAGCTTCTACTCTAGGTCATGGGAAGCCGTTCTAGGCTTTGCTCTGTCTCTGTGTTAACCATTATGCGCTTATTGTAATTGGAAGCCATCTAAAAAGCTAACAGGGAAATCTGAGTTAACTACCTGAACAAGGAGCTCAGTACTTAACATATTTGATAAAGTAGTAAAATCCTTGGTATTTATAGGCAGCTAACATAAGTAAGAAAAATGTATTCCCTAATTGTTTTTCTCACCCTCAATCTATGCTTTTACCGCTTTATTATACCCAATGATATTTAAGATACAAACTGAAATGTAGGATGGTTGGGGCAGCTTTTAAAAAAAATCTCAACTAAGAAAATAAAAGAACTTGAAAACTGCTGGTTGTTCATACATTTGCATTATGTACAGCCGAAGGAAGCCAACTTGAGACTGAATATCTGCACCCTTCGTGTTGATTTTAATAAATACAGCATAAACTAAGGCCTTTTATTGGTGGCATGAGTATTGACTTTCTTTACAGATTAGCATTCTTCTGCTAATTCTTCTGAGGCAAACTGCTGCTCAGAGAAGCGATGATTTGCTGGAATAAAGAACATGATCATCAAATATGGAAAAAGGCTGCTGCACAGAGAAAGAGAATAGTTCTTTCATGTCCACAGCAAAAAGAGAAAAATTAAATGGCTTAAACTGCACCAAATATAATTGAAGTCACATAATAGGGTAAATCTGTGAGAGTACATGTTGTATAATAGGTTATGTAGTGCTCATCAAAGTGGAAAGAGAAGTATCTGTTAGAATTTGCATCAGTAAAACTGATGTGTTTTAGGCCAGAAGGAGGGACTGGTAACTTCCCAGTCAGAGGGCTTCAAGGGCTTGTTGGTTTCAGCTGCTATCAGGGCACTAGGTAGAGACTTCACCTGAGCACCACCAGCTTGTCAATCATAGTCTGAATCAGTAGACATTGGGAGAGCAAAATCTGTTTGAGATAGGTAAGATTTTGTATTTTACTTATTTTAGAAGAACCTCAGAGCAGTGGAACTGTACAGGTAGAAGGCTGAACTACACAGCTGATTACAAAGTATGAAGCCGTCTTCATTTTCCTGAAGTAATCGGAAAATTATGTTTCTCATCTATAGGGTGATCATATGCATAAAGTAAAACATCCATAGAAGTGTGTATTTTATTCACATGTCTGCCAAGTCCTGATGGTATATTTGTGGAAATACATTTATTATCTGCGGTTGAGCTGAGCTACAGGGAGATGTCTTGGAAGTAAGATATATGTCACTCTGTAGCTTCCTGTGCAGATTTAATGTATTTTACTAGGGAATATCACCTAAGCCATAAATATTGCAATTTACTGCACTAGGGATCTGTGTATAAAATATTTATGTCATGACGAAGATGTCTGTATGATTTAAAAAAAAGTATCTGAATAAATTCAAAAGGGAAGAATTTGACCAATGTTTGAAGGTATATTCTTTAACTGTTAAAACCCAAAAGATCAATTTTGTTTTCTTGGAAATACATGATTGTCATTTTCTTTGGCTTTAAAAAATGAAGGAAGCTTTGGGGGAATGTAATACATTAGAGTGGAGTTCCAGCTTCCACATGTTCCTGCATGGTTGCACGGAAGTACAGGCTACAGGGTAACTGTGACAGCCTCCTAGTGTAAGGAAGTAGCTTCATGTTAGTTATCACTTGTTTTCAATATAAATCAGCCAGGAGGAGAAGGGTGTCTGTTTTGTCATTACTTTTAGCTGGAAATGGCAAACTAGGTTTTTACTGCTCCTTGTTGCAATGTCCGTTTTTTTACTCAGTGGGATTCCTATGGATCTGACTTTGCATCCCTGACCTTACAGGGAGTACCAGTACCTTCCATTGCCTTCAACTGAAGTTCTTTGATTGGAAAAAAAAACACTTAGGGGTGAGGGGGGGGAAGGTTGTCTGTGAAATACTAAGAAATCTGACCTTGCC